GTACGTGTGGTGCTCACAGTCTTCCATCAAGTTCTTCAGAAGAACCTGGTTCATGGGACGAACACTGCTGGTTCGGCTCCACCATCACTGTCATCTTCAGTGGGAGCTGATCTTGGTGTCTTCTTTGGGCGTGAACACCAACTTTGGGAGATATTATTTCTCTGGATCAGGTATAATCACTCCCTTCTCTTTTGGTTCAAATTTGGTCTGGTTTGTTTCAAGTAGGATCCTTGAAATTGATTCTAAAATCAGGGAATACGATTCCCAGTTGGAAGGAAGGTAGGAAATTTTTGAAATTCGCCCACCCATTCCGCAACTGTTTTGGCATCCATACGATGGATCCTACCATCCCTTTCATCAACAAGTCTCACCTTGTCCCGACAAGATAATAGATGATAAGATTGAAAACAATTGGATTTACCCGTCATATGGTTCGAGGCTCTACAATCTATTATCCAAGGGGAGTTTGAGGGATGAGACAACACATGGAAAGTTGTGGCAAAGTTACCGTTACCTAATGTAGATGCAAAGGAAGTCGAGGATGGAGAAGCAGAATCCATCTGGTGGATTGCCCTCCCATACAACTCCAAATGGTTACAAAAAGAATTAATGATATCTTCCCTCGGATCAGTCCCGGAAGGACTCATAGTAGTGGTAGATGATTGAGGCTCTTGAGAGGCTAAATTTGCTGCATTAAACTTTCTCTGACCTTGTTGTCCTGGCTTCTTATTTTGATCTGGCTTTTTACTCATTTCCTAAGCCCACTTTGGCTTCCCGTGAAGCTCCCAACATGTCTCCCGAGTATGCCTAGTCTTCTAACAGTGTGTACACCATAGCTTATCTTTGCCATCAACTTTCTTCTGGGAGTCACTCTTCTTGAAAGAATTTCCACCACCCGTAGCAACACCCCCCTTTAGCTGCTAAAGCAACATGCTCTCCCTCAGGATTATTCATCACATTCCGTCTGCTCTCTTCTGACTGTACAAGAGCATATACTTCTTGTAATGATGAGGGGTCTTTACCCCCCAATATCTGAACCCTAATAGATTCATATGTGGGATTCAGCCCTAAGAGAAAGGCAAACACTCATTGTTGGGAAACTAAAGACTTGAATGCTTTGGCATCTGCATCACATTTCCAGTCTATATTCTAATAGTGATCTAGTTCCTTCCAAACAGAAGTCAGGTCTGAATAGTGAGCAAAGAGACTCCTCTCCCCTTGTTTACAAATTGAGGAGGCAGCCTACAACTGATATATTTTAGCATAGTGCCATTGTTCAGAGTATGTAGACTGAGCCTGCTCCCAAATCTCATGAGCTGTTTCTGCCCACATGAAGGTCTTTCTCACTTGTGGCAGAATAGATAATAACAGCCATGACATCACCATGCTGTTTTCCTGGTCCCACCTATCATGTTCCATACCACTAGATTGGGGTTCTCTAATTCTGCCATTGATATACCCCGCTTTTCCCCTTGCAATTATGTAGAGCTTGATTCCCCTTGACCATTCTAGGTAATTGAGGCCATCAAAGGGAATCACAGCCATGGGAAAACTCATGTCAAAACCTCCGCTCATCCCACTTTGACTAGAGGTAACACCAGACATACCAGAATCTTCAGAAGACAGAGAAGCTGAATCTGATCAATCACAACCCAACTAGAGAACAAGTTTTCAATTTAGTTCAAACTCACAGTACAGTCAAAAACAGGTTGTCGTCTCAATTCAGTCACACTTTTGGACACAAGAAAGCTTGTTCTCACACAAAGAAATCAAAGCTGGTCACACACCATTACTGTTCTTAGATTTTGGCCCTAGCAATAAACTGCTGTCACATCAGTTACAGATCTGCAGTCTTGAAGAAATCACACCTTTCAGGGCATAAGAAGGATCACTCGATCCACATACATTGAGAGAAGACTCTCACACAAGCCACAGGTGATCAGACCCACATAACCCACTGATCTGGGTACAAAAGGATCAGTTCAACCCACAAAACTGATGAAGAAAAATAAAGAAAAACTCACAGTATTCAAAACTGACTCACAGCATTCGATTTTTCTCTCCCCTGATAATTTCTAGGCTCACAACCAAGAGAAATTAACCGTCTTGCAGTGAGCTTCCTCACATGTCCACCAGAGATCTTGTTCTTTGGTTCGATCACCAATAGACAAAAAAGGAAAGAAGTGCCACCCTGGTCCAAAGGTTGGATCTGCCGCTCTGATACCATGTTTTCTTGGTGCTGAGATGGTATGGTTCCAGAATAGAGAGAAGAGAAGAAGGAGAAGGGAGAAGAAAGAAAAGAGAGAAGAGAAACAGAATTGAGAGAGACAAAAAGTCAACTGGCGACACCAGTTTATTTGGTATATATACTAGGGTGACCATAAAGAAAAAAAGAAAGAAAATTACAAAGGTTCCCTTGTGGCACTAAACTTAAAATAAACTCAGTTATTTCAACAATAGAGTTCCTAGAGAGATAATATGGTGGGCCTTGGAAAAGAAAAGGGTTCAAAATAGATATATTGACCTAATTAAGGATATGTATGAGGGGACTTCATACATATCTATTTGCACTTAGCCCTTATCTATTTGCACTAGTCATAAATGAATTGACTAAACATATTTAGGAAGAAGTTCCATGGTCCATGTTGTTTGTGGATGACATTGTTTTAATTAATTAAACTAATGAATGATTAAATGCAAAATTAATCTTATGGACCAATGCCTTAGAAACAAGAGATTTTAAAATAAGTAGGACGAAAACAAAATATATAACATGTAAATTTAGTAATAATATGAGTGTAAATCAGGATACACTTAGGATTGGAGACCAAGAGATAACTCAATGTGACCATTTCTGCTACCTTGGTTCAATAATTCATAACAAGGGAGAGACTGAAGAGAATGTCACCCAAAGAATTAGGTTAGGGTGAGCAAAATGGAGGGGTGCATCTGAACTTTTGTGTGATAGGAGAATAACACATAGGTTAATAGGGGAAGTTTTATAAAACAGTTGTAAGGCCAACTATGATGTATGGAGCAGAGTGTTGGGCAGTCAAGAAACATGTTCAGAAAATGAGTGTGGTAGAAATGTGCAAGCTAAGATGAATGAGTAGAAGAACTAGAAAGGATAGGATCAAGAATGAAGCCATCCATAAAAACCTAGGAGTAGCTCCAATAAGTGATAAAATGGGAGAGAATATACTAAAATGGTTTAGTCGTGTTCATAAAAGACCACCAACAGCTCAAGTTAGAAGAAGTTATTCGTTACTACAAGTGGAAGGCACTAAAAGAGCTAGGGGTAGACCAAAAAGGACATGGGTAGAAGTAGTAAGAAATAATTTAAACACTAATAATTTCACAGTGGGGGATATGGCTTTAAATAGAACAGATTTACGAAATAGGATTCATGTAGCCGACCCCATATAGTTGGGATAAGACATGGATGAAGATAACGATGATGATGATGAAAAGTTGAGTAAGTACACAACCTTAATCTCCATAATCAATAATCAATAGGCCAAACCCTAATAAATCACAACTCATCTTTGTGAGGTTCTATTAACTGTTAAATCACAACCCATCAACCCCAAGGGTAAACATTCCCCAACCTTATAGGAAAAACATATAAAAATAATAAAAAAAAAATCAAGTCCAAGCATCATTCACTATTGCTTTAGGTTCCTGGAGGAGAACACCATCTTTGAGAATGTCTCCTCTAAAAATAATGAGAATGACTTTTCTAGAAAATGTAGTCTTCAAATTTAGTGTTAAGCAGAATTAGATATTACTAAGGAGATCGTTCATTTGACTCCAAAGAATTGAAGCAGGACCAGAAATCAATTCCAGAAATTCTTCCCCATTTGAGTTCTGAGGTCTCACTTTCTCACTGATTGGACTTGGGGTATGTCTATGATGTGTCAAGTTGTGGAAAATATTCTTCAAAGCGGATGAGTAATGTTAGGGTTGTAAAACCCAAATTTTATTTTTTATATACCAACTGATGGTGGCTCAGTTGGTAGGATCTCTGATTCGTCAGAGTAGAGACCCAGGATCAAATCTCATTGCCACTAGGGTTCGGGGTTAAGGGAGGGGATGGGGATGGGCTACCCCCCATTGTGTAGCCCCATGAAGCAAAAAAAAAAAAAAAAACAAAAAAAAAAATTATATTCAACCAGAAAAACACAATATCCAAATTTGATTCAGATACTGATGGATATTCATATTTCCCTATTCAAATTCAATTCAATTAAGTAAATGGATATCTGATTCAAATTCAATTTGATTCAACATGGAGATTCACTAGGCCTCATGCTTAACTGTAACTGCAACTAGGCAGATCGTTAACCATTCAAATTGCATACAAGACCATTTAAATACTCAATTCTTCTTAAAATTATTCAACTTAACAACAATAGAAAATTTTTTTATCAATAACAGAAATTCAGTATTGCAAGTGACAACATTTGCAACTGGATCCCACAAATTCAGACAGTGTTCAACTCAGGTTGCAGAAATCTAAATTAGAAACAATAAATTGAACCCATCAAATCTAAATCACAAATCATAGATAGTGCTATTGTAAAAAAAAAAAAAAACCTCCAATAAAGACTAACCCATTAATTGATATCATATCAGTCCACAGACTGTAAAAAAGAGGAAAAAAAAATCCCAAAGAGAGCCCAACCTGAACCTTTGAACAACATAAGAAGAAAAAGATCAGAAAACATACCTGAGATCTTAGAAAAGGGTTTGCTCTCAGATCTGTGTCAAATAGAAGCTTCAAATGATGATTGAGATTTGTCCTTGGTGATCCAATGCCGGTGACAGTACAGGTATTCTCCAGGTCTGACCATCTGGGTAAACAACAGGTTGAAAATACTACCATAACACCCTAGACCAAAAGCCATCACACTTGCACTGATTTGGCTCAAAGCTTTGCAATAGACTCAATCTCTATACCACCCCAGACCATAACAAAGATGAGATTAACTATTATTTTCTTTTTTTTTTCTCAGCAAAAGGATTTCATTAAAATTAACTAATAAACTTAATACAACTGTTGGAAGATTCCAACACCCTTCAGTAACAGTTTTACAAGTTTTCCCATAATAGATTTGGCCTGTTAACTCCCTGTTTAGCTAGTACATCTGCTGCCCCATTGGCAGTTCTTCTCACTCAGCTGAAATGTGAATTTAATTGCTTTGCAATAACATCAATTTACCTAAAAGCATGTCTATATTTCCAAGGTGCTGCTTTGACTTGCTTTGCCCAATGAATTACCAGTTGTGAGTCACCCTCCACTTCCGAATTTCTAAGACCAAGCTGTTTACTAATCTCAAACCTTGTAAAAGTGCCAAAATTTCCATCTTAATTGAGCCTCCCAATCCCACCGGACCTGATACACTACCACCACCAATGCTTGATGATCTCATCACTCCCCCAATACCTGCTCTTCCCAGGTTGTCCATAGAGCTACCATCAAAGTTCAGTTTCAGTTTATTTTACAGCAGGGGGCTTCCAATCCATTCTCACCTCTTCAATGTTTCTACCTGTTTGCGCCACCTCAGACCAAGCTCTAATGATGTTCTTAACTGAAAAGATCTAAACAGCTCCAATGTTTTTTACCCAATGTCCAGCTCTCACGAAGATAGCTTCCAATAGTTCCTCCTTAGACCTGCTTTTCTCATTGAAGATTGTATTGTTCCTTTCTTCCTATATCATCCAAACCAATGCAGCTCTTACTGTCCTCCACATGATTTTCCCTCTCTTTTCCTTTAGCCTCAGGAAGTTGGGGTTGAACAGGTTTACCACATCTTGTGGGGGCACCCATCTGCAACCAAAGAGAGAACAGAAATATTCACAAAAACAAAACACAAGAGGACAGGATAATAATAGATGAGAAACGGTCAAACAATTTGACTGTTTGGGTCAACAAAGAGTTGAAAACATTGATTATAACACCCTAGACCAAAAGGCAAAAGCCATCATACTTGCACGGATTTGGTTCGAGGCCTTGCAATAGATTTAATCTCTAATATGGGTTAATTAGAAATGTAATGTATAGATCCATAATGAGTCAGTGCTCTTCCTCAAGAAATAAACAATGAGTCAGCTACACAGGAATATGACTAGACCTTATCATTACAAATACAAGGATCTGTTATTAATCCCTCCTATGACGACCCAACTGATTCAAGAATTAGTTGTTCATAAGTGAGTTATGAGGAAACAATGTCAGAATGTGAATCCTTCATCCTTAAAACTATATACAGATAAGGATTCGACTTTAATTAGGAATCTGCAATGTCAAAGCAGACACTAATAGAATTTCACTGCTTCATAGGAAAGACCACAAGACTGCCTACTTTGTGTCCCCACGCCTGTGTCCGTTCTCACCTTGTTGATTCCTTTAAACTTTGAGAAACCTAATACCATTGCTGACAGATACAGAGATCAAACATAAGGAGGCCTAGGTGGGCGTAGGGGCCATGGGTGGGAGCCCCCAGCTGCAGTTGATGGGCTGGAACTAGAAAACTGCTTTGGTCTTTGAGAAATGGTAGCGGCCTTCGGGTCTTTGTTCACCTTCTGTTCAACCTCTGGAGGGTTAGCCTGTGTTTCATTAATATCAATATCTCGCTTGACATTCTGATTTTTCTCTCCATCTGTTGGCCTTGGCGTAGAATAGAGATGATGGGGCTGCCAGAAGGTCGTTGCACGATTTGACACATGTTCACTGTGTCCTGATCCATATGATGCAGGAGGGTGATGGACCATATGAGGATTACCTTTACTCTCAATCTCTTCTTTTCCTTTGCCCTGATAGTCTGTCTGCAAACCTTCAGGTAGTTTGTTAGGTTTATTAACTTCAAGTTGCTTGTCTTTGTCTGAAGAAGATGAAATCTCAACTGGATCAACTCTAGGAGCTGATGAACGGCCTGAGGTAATTGCAGTTGTGGGGAATGCTTTCTCTGGAGGGACAGCTGGAGTGTAGTTAGGTGGGAGTAGATCATCCCAATTCTCCAGTAGCTCCTTGTAGACTTTTCGCAGAGTGACCTCAGTGAGACCTGTCACTTTGCAAATCTCTGCCTGGGTTTTGCGTTTGTCTTCCAGTTGACAGGCCAGATAAATAGCAGCTGCAGAGATGCTAATTGGATTCCTACGAGTGCAGAAGCATTTGTTGATCACAACTTCTCCAATATGAGTTGCTAGCTCCTGAGAAGGTCACAAGAGAATAAAATGGAATTCTGTTAAAGAAAATAAATGAAGAGCAAGGTTGAATAACTCCAACAATCAGGTCAATGAATTGGACAAAAAATTAGGGACCATTACTTGGTATAATGGTAAAATCTCAGGCTGACAAGAATGAGAATGTGAATTCAAGTCTGCAAGTGGCCACTTTGTGCTAAAATATGCCAAAGGTTAGATCTATATTTACCCCTCCCAAGGCCCCAGATAGCTTGGACCAACATTAGGTAAGTTTACTTGCTCCGTGCAGTATTTGTAGTTGGGAGAGCCTCATCCACATGTGAGTTAAAGTGTTAAATCAACCTTAATGCAGGGAATCCATAATTCAAAACAAAGATGATTCATGATAAATTTCTTCAAATAATATACCTGAGCAGATTTGTTGAGTTGGAGGAGAGTGCAAAACCTTGGCATGTGAACTGATATCGAGTTGCTGTTAATGGGTTGACTCAGTTGCAGAGCTTCCCCTAGTATTTTAATATATTTCCCTATCTCCTTCTGGGGAACATTAGCTGCAATTGAAATTTCCTGTGGTATATAAAGGACAATAGGAGTTCAGATAATTCTAATGAAAAGTGGAAACAAAACCTAATCTTTTACAGAAGAATTATAACAGGTCCCACCTGTTCGGGAAATAAAAGTTTTAAGCTCCAGCATTTTCATATATGATCTAGCAATTTGGCCCTTAGGAGCCCTGATTCTATTTGTTACATTTTTTTATTATCTAATAAAATTCTCTCAAAAAAAAAAACCAGAAAATTGAAAAGCATTGTCAAATGCAAGAAAGTGACCCTGGTCAATGCTTGAAAAGGAGAACATAAAAGAACCTCTAGAACTTCAAGACAAGTATGAACCTAGAGGAAGAACCAGAGAGAATATCACTAAAGAAAAATTACTTAAATGGATGTCCTACAAGTTAATTTGGTTGCATACAGAACCAGGATCAGTACCAACCATACTAGCTGATTATTCTTTTTTTTTATCAACGACAGAATTTCATTAGATATATAAAAAAAAAAAAAAAATTATAAGACTGAGGCAAACTATCTTACCTCTCCACAACAAAAACGCAATTACAATTGAGCCCAAAACAATTGATTCCCTCCTGGCTCCTTGTTTTGCTAAAACATCAGCAAAGGCATTTGCAGTCCTTTTAATCCAGCTGAATTGCACACCCACATCTTGAATCAGCCACTTAAATCTCTTCTTCCTTTTGAACCACTGCACTACTAACTTTGAATCACCTTTGATAATCAACTTTCTCATATTCAATTCCTTTGACTTTTGCAATCCTTCCATGACAACCATAACCTCAGCCCTTAGGGAGTCAACTACTCCAATTGGGTGATTGGGTCCAAATAAAATCCAATAACTCTGCTTTCACTATCTCTAAAAACCCCTCCAATACCAGAAGGACCCAAGTTTCCTGCACCATGCCCATCAAAGTTCAGCTTGATGTAGTCAATCATTGTGGTCCGTCAAGAAGAAATAAGAAAAGAAGACAAAAAGAAGAGGAAGGAGAAAAGAGAAAAGAGAAGGAAAAGTTCTATTGGAAAGGTACACTGGCTGGTAGCACCTAAGTTAGTATTTATACTTAGGGCGACAGCATAGAATAAAAGGATAAGGAAAAAGACAAAAATACCCCTACGGCAATACATAACATGTTTCAACATTCCCCCTCAAGTTGGAGTATATATGTCAATCATGCCCAATTTGTCACACAACTCATTATGCTGCAAGTAATAAAGACCTTTTATAAGAACGTCTGCTAGTTGTTCCTTGGAACTAATGTAAGGAGTACATACTTCTCCCTCGTCAAGTTTTTCTCTTATAAAGTGCTTGTCAACTTCAATATGCTTGGTCCTATCATGAAGAATTGGGTTGGCAGCAATATTGATGGCTGCCTTGTTATCACAATAAAGGGACATTGAACTATCAATAGAGAAGCCCAATTCACCAATCAAATTTTTTTACCCAAAGCACTTCTGCAACCCCATGAGCCATAGCTCTATACTCAACCTCAGCACTGGATCTGGCCACTACACTTTGTTTTTTGCTTCTCCAAGTGGCCAATTTTCCACCAACAGAGGTGCAATATCCACTAGCAAACTTCCTATCATCAACTACACCAGCCCAATCTGCATTTGTGTAGACTCCCACTTTCATATGACCATGCTTCTTGAACAAAATGACAGTCCCTAAATACTTCTTTAGATATCTTAAGACTCTCTCTGCTGCCTCCAAATGGGAAGACTTTGGAGAATGCATAAACTAACTGAGGACACCAACAATGTATGCTATATCCAGACAAGTTATCAACAAATAGCGAAGCCTTCCTACTAACCTTTGAAATTTCTTGACATTTGTCACAAGTTCTCCAATACAATCACCAAGTTTATGATTTTCATCAATAGGGGAATTCATAGCTTTGCTCCCAACTTCCTTGTACCTTGTAAGAGATCTATGACATATTTCCTTTGAGAAATAAAGATGCCCAACTTCAATTCCAAGGAAATAATGTAACAGTCCTAGGTCCTTAACTTCAAATTGCACAGCAAGTTTTTTTTTTTTTTTTTTGATCAATAACAACAGCTTTTCATTAAAATGAAACAAAATTAATTACAAGGAAGGGGAGATAAATTTTCTTAACTTCTCGAGTAGGGCAAGAGCCCCTAGAAAAGCAATAAAGTAGAATTACAACAAAGCCCAAAATAAAGATTCCCGAGCCACCCCTTGCTTAGCTAACCCGACAGCAAAAGAGATAGCAGATCTCTTCACCTAACTGTACTTCACTTCCATATCCTTTGCCAGCCACTTGTAATTTTTCTTTTCATTGCTAAAGTTCCACAACCTCGCCTTATCCTCTTATTAGCCATCCTACTACCACCTCCAAGTAGGGATGCAAACGGATTGGATTCAAATCAAGGTATATTCGAATCCGATCCGACATTGTTCATGTTGAATTCGATCCGATCGGATCTGATAGGACTCGATCTGAATTCGAATCTTCGGATCTAATTTGATCCGACTTGTTTTCTTTAAAAATTAATAAATTATTAAAAGAAAAAATAAATATACCAATTTAAATAAAGAAAAAACAAAAAATACAAGTATTTTTTAACTATTTTCATCATATATACATGTTTTTTATAAAAAAACAAATAATATAACAAATTTATAAAAATACAATATAAATATATATTTATAAATAAATAAATAACACATATATGTAATTATGTATTATATATATTTATATTTATAAATAAACACATCGGATCAAATAGGGGTGATCCGAATCCAATCCGATTTCTGATCGGATCATAGGATCTGATCCGATCCGAAGAACCAACCAGGGGTGATCCAAATTCGACCAAATAGGATCAGATCATGATCTGATCCATTTGCACCCTTACCTCCGAGTCACCTTCAACCACAAATCTCCTTATATTCAACCCCTTTGCCCTCCGGATTCCTTCCAAAACCATAAGGATCTCAGCCTTGAGGGAATCACCTACCCCTAGAGGACTTGAAAACATAGCTGAATTAACCCCTTCATCCCTGAAAACTCCCCGAATACCAGATTGTCCTGGGTTCCCTCTATTGCTGCCATCAAAGTTCAACTTTATAAACCTAGTAGGGGGAGGGGTCCAAGGACTAATCCCAGTTCTAATCTAAGTAGCACTAGCAATCTCCTTCCACTTTCTTATCAAATCATCCAAAGTAAAACCAATAAAAAAATCAGAGGTCTTTAACCATTGTGCTGCCCTTAGGTGGATTAGTTCTATTACAGTTTCAATATTCCTCTCCCTATTTGAGAAGATCCTTGAATTCCTTTCTTCCCACAAAGTGGGACAAACAGCAACCCTTAGGCACCTCCACATGATCCTTAGGCACAGCAAGGAATTTTTTTTTTAATTTATGTATTTTAGATTCCTAGTTCCCTATAATTACTATGTCATCTACATACAAAATTAGAACCACAACCTTCACTTAATTTCTCTTTACATATAAAGTATGATCAAACTGACATTACTTGAACCCAGTTTGTTGAAGAGCCAAGTGAAATCTACTAAACCATGCCCTAGGGGATTGCTTCAAACCATATAGTGATCTTTTTAGTTTGTAGACTTTTCCTTCACACCCTTGTGCTATAAACCCAGGAGGCTGAATCATATACATTTCTTCTAGACCCCCATTCAGGAAAGCATTTTTTATGTCCAATTGATGAAGTTCCCACTCAAAGTTAACAGCCAAGGATAATATGATCCGAATAGTGTCATTTTAGCAACTAAGGCAAAGGTTGATGCATAGTCAACCCCATATACCTGTGGGTACTAGGTACCCTTTTGCAAACTCAACATTTTCATGCTCCTTAAGCACTAGCTAATGTACCATTTCAACATCTTTGGGGTTTGTCCTCTTTTGTATGGATTGTAGCTTAGGAGTTTATTGATGTACTCCAGGTATGTATTATTACATTCAGCTTTTCAGTGTGGTATAATTGAGGGTGTTACAGTTTGGAGTTGTAGAGACTAGTTCTCTTTGTTGCCATAAGCTGATAACTATTTAGCTAGGGTTTCCTAACCTCAATCCTATTGAACTAGTTTATTAAGGCCTCTTTTTATTCGAAGGTGGCTGAAACTTTCCCTTTGTTTGAAGTATTTGTTAGACTTTTTTTCGGCTCCAATAACAGTGTTGTAGAGGTATAGAACTTCAGTTTTCTCAGTTCTGTCGAGGTAGTAGTTGACTACTAAGAAATCTCTTCGTGTAGTAGTCAACTACTAAGAACAGGATAGTACTACTAGTCGACAACTAGCAACAGGACATTGAAGATTCAGCAATAATATAGTGAGCTTGCCTCTCCACATCCCTTGAACTCAGTTGTCCCTTCTGACATCTCAAAAAACACAAAATGGGGTGGAGTCAAGAATGAATGGGAGTGACACTTGGGGAACTTGCCTCTCCTCCTGCACCCTATTCTCCCCATGAGAAGAGGCCTTGAAGGAACGATCAAACTCAAAAAAGGAGGCATCTATTGATACAAAGAACTTGTGAGAGATAGTATTAAAGCATTTGTAACCTTTCTAGGAGGATGGGTAACCCAAAAAAAATACATGGGATAGACTTGGGTCCAACTTACCTCAACTTGGGGACAAATGATGAACAAAACATTTATTGCCAAACACATGCACAGGAATAGAAAACAAAGGGGATTGAGGAAACAAGAGTTGATGTGGGGCCTTGTACTGCAAGAGACGAGAGGGCATGCGATTAATAACATATGTTGTAGTCATCACAGCGTCAACTTAGCACCGCTTGGGAACATTCATATGTAGCACCATACTACGGGCAACTTCAAGAAGATGTCGACTCTTCCTTTCTACAATACCATTTTGTTGTGGTGTTTTGGCACAAGAACTTCGATGAAGAGATCCATGAGATGCAAATAAGTCAACTAGATCATGATGAAAATATTCTTTCGCATTATCTGATTAGAAAGTTTGTGTATCAACATGAAATTGAGTTAA